GCAATATAACTCTTTCAATAATCATAAGGAGCCTCAGTCAAAGGTTGAGAACATTCGGATTACTGTAAAATAAGGATTTTAGAGCTCCAGATAACTTTTTGAACAATTGAGTTTTTACTCTAAGGTTTCTATTTTTATTGGGTTATTACAGTTTTCATTGGGTAAACAACATTTTTTTCACTCATCTATTCATCACTCTATTAGGGTTTTCCCCCAATTTGAGAACATTTTAAGATTGAAAAAAAATGAAATAATGTTTTAGATGTATATAACTGTCCTAAATATATAGGCTTGACTCGGAAAGTAAATTATCTTGTAATTGTGTTTCGGAAAATAGCTCCCATGTCTGCATACTGAAAAAGCTTCGTTGGGTATTTTACGCGAGCTGTTTTTTACATTTGAGTTTATCATTTAATGTACGCGTTTCTGTACGCAAGTTAATTGAAAGTAATTGGGTTTTGAATATTTTTAGGGGTATCTTACGCAAATACGCTGCTTATCTGTACAGAGCCCCTATCCAAAAATGCGACGCAAAAGTAATGCGTAATATCTCGTAAGTGTTTGACTGACTTATCATGTACCTATGAATCACTTACAAATAGTGATGATATCCGGTGTTCGCGAATAGGTGAGCGTCACCTGTCCCATTGGTGACACCGTCACAAACACATGCAAAGGCAAGTCAAGTGTTCACCCGGGACACACAGCGAACATTGCAACAGTCACTTCAAGCACAGCTTTGAATCTTTTATGAAACAGCATGCTCGATTGAATTTCAAAAGTTGTGAAATGTAGACACCAAGAGCTCGAGCTGCAGTAGTATTACTTGAAATGAGAAAAAAAGACAACTGGAAAGTTGAAGTCACCCTCTTTTCATACATTCTTGTGGAGAGTGTTCAGTGGCTTCGAATCTTCATGCACAAATCTAAATATGAGGCGGATTAACTGTTATTTCTAGTTCAGTGGGTAAATCAGTGGAAGGGAATTGGCTCTTTGGCCATCACAAAACAACATCAGATCATCGATATACTCGAAGCTGAAGTTAAACTTTTTTGACAAATTCACATGTTTTCGTGTTTGGTTTTTTTTTTGACAATCCGAGCAGAAATTGATATGCATTAGTTACATTTTTGGTGAAAATATGCCTCAGTGAATGGGTACTCGGTAGGATAAGATGGTAATGTCACTGTTAAAGTTCTAGCGCCTCATAAAAAGCTTGTATTGTTTACTCCCCAGGGAGCTGAGAATAACAGTCACGTATTGATCCGCTGACCAGAATAATAACACAGAAGCACAAAGAGTATTAATTTGCGAATGGAATGGCGAATAAATAGACTTCTAAATTATGCCATGTATGCCACGTACGATGGATATCACACAAAATCGTGTATGCGTATCAGAGGATAATGCAGATTCATTAAGCTAAGTCCTTGAGGGTCCATTCTCTATATGGGCTCTCCATGGAAAGTGAGTACCAACCCAAGCCGCGATGTTACAAATGAAAAAGTAAATGGACCCGTTGTTCCATCTAAACGACTTTGAGTGTGAGCAGAGTTACGTCCCTTGGGCACGCCAGAATCCTGTGATCATGGTTCGAATCCCGTTTCGCCCTGACTATGCTTCTAGGTTTGTCGGCACCATACCCGTGGGATTTACCAAAGTGGTAAACGTCTGAGACCTCCATCATTTCGGGCTTGCCTCCCACATTAAGCTGACGTGATATAACTGGAATTATGCGTCATGCGGAGTTAAACCTACCTCACTCACTATACAGAGACCCGTGAACATCCGGGTTAGAATTGGTCATCAGCAACCCATGCCTGTCGTTAGAGCCGACTGTGCTTGTCGTAAGAGGCAACTAATGGGATCGGGTGGACAGGCTCGCTGACTTGGTTAATGCATGTCATCGTTTCCCAATTTCGTGGATCGGTGCTCATAATACCAATCACTGGATTGTCTGGTACAGACACGATTATTTACAGGCCGCCGTCATAGAGCCGAAATATTGCTTAGTGCGGCGTTAAACAACAAACAAACAAACAAACAAGCAAACAAACAAACACTCTCCAGAGCGATGCCCCATGCCGACATCTACAACCATGACATCCTGCAGCTTCAACAAGCCGCGACGTGCCACCCGACGGTAATACTCGGTACGGTGGAGGCGATCAATGCGCGTAAGAGGGAACAAAGCAATGTTTGCACACTGTAGCAAATCAATTAGTAAGTGAATGTAATAATTTGCTACACACCACGTACAGTACGATGCTTCGTCACATTATCTCCGTGAGACAACAGGCGATTAACGATTGGACATGCGCGCATGTTTGTTGCAAAGTATCGTACAGTCCTGTGTAAGCGTGATCCGACCGAACGGTCAAACGACTCACCAAGAAAACAAGCCCGCCTTCTTTAGGTGAGGTGAGGTGAAATGGGGTTTAACGTCGCGTCCAAGATTATTGCACTTATATAGCGACGTGCATGTACGTGTGTGTGTGTGTGTGTGGCTGCTTGTACTAGTCCGGACTGATGCCGATTTATAGTGCTAGCTCACTGAGATACCATGCCACAGTTTAACATGAATACCCCACTCAGACACAGTATACTGACTCCGAGCCGACCAGTCCTTGTTTTAGCCCCTTAATGCCGAGCGCCAGACAGGGTAACAACAAGTACCATCTTTTAACGTCTTTTGGTATGACGCGGTCGGGGATCGAACCCCGGACCTTCCGCTCTCCGGGCGGACCCTCTACCTCTAGACCCGCCTTCTTTAGACGCCTGATCCAATGTTTTATGTCACTTTGGAAAATAATAACATTAAGCTTAAGGGGATGACCATTTGATATAGCGCTGGGATGTTATCGAAAAAAAGAAAATGTCCCAGAACATTCTTGGAAAAAAAAAGAATCAAATTGTTTGCCACAAAAATAATATTGTTGCAAGGTTTTGGGTCGTAAAAAATATTCAGCTCATAGTTTTAATTGAAACAATACTTGTTTTTGCAGCTGTTACTGAAAAATATCTAATTTCCGGACAGAAGCCCAAAAAGGTCGTTCTCACAGATCCCTTTTCAAAACTTCCAGAACAAGATCGATACTTTTTTCACAAACCCACATAGTGATGGAACAACAAGCGTGTCGCCGTACATCACGGGTTCGTTTCCTAAACGTGTTTATCTGTCGTACTTGAACCTCCAGTAGAGACGTTTGAAAGAAAACTAAAAACATTACGCAAACGCCTGCAAATAATACATGCCTGCCAAGAAAAAACGACCTTCCGAAATATCTGGTGTCAATTATCGGTGTTGGGTTGATCTGTTGAAGTGATGCAGGTCTCAGGCGTTAACCACTTCGGTGAAACCGACGAATACAGGTATGGTGCTGACAAACCTGGAAACGTAATCAGGGCGAATCGAGATTTCACGTACGCACGCACGCACGCACCTCCTCTCTCTCTCTGTGGCTTGTGTGTGTATGTGCGTTGGGATGGGGTGGGTGGGCGTGTTAGTGATTTGTGCGTGTTGAAGGGATGTGAGGGTGAAGGGGGGGGGGGGGGGGGGGGGGGGGGGGGGCGTGGAAGTAGGGGGGTCAGTTGTCAGTTGTCATGCAAGGGTATGCGTGGGGAAGTGTGTATGTAATAGTGTATGAGTTGTGTACGGTATCTGGGTTGTGTTCGGATTTTCAACAGACATACCATTTCTAATACCTAAAAAATATTAGGTTTTTTTTCAAATAAATTAGGTCGCCATCTTTTCACACACACACACACACACACACACACACACACACACACACACACACACACACACACACACACACACACACACAAACAGAGAGCAAGAGACACACAAAGACACACACAGAGAGCAAGAGTCACACAAAGACAGAGAGCAAGAGACACACAAAGACACACAGAGAGAGCAAGAGACACACAAACACATACACACTCACTTTCTCTCACGCACACACAAACACAAAGACAGAGACACATACAGGAGACACACACACACTCACTCTCTCTCTCACACACACACAAACACAAAGACAGAGAGACACATACAGGAGACACACACACTCACTCTCTCTCTCACACACACACACACAAACACAAAGACAGACAGCGTATACAGGAGACACTCACACACACACTCATAAACACACACACTCACATTCACACACACACACACAAACACACACACACACTCACATTCACACACTCACATTCACACACACACACACTCACATTCACACACTCTCACACAAACACACACACACACACTCACAAACACACACACACACACACACACACACACAAACACACACACACACGTGTGATGTGTAGTTTCCTTTAGTTTCAGGCACCAAACAGGAACAGTGTGCTGACAACAGAGGGTGACATATCGCCGGTAATGCGTCGTTAACCAGTGTTATAATAACCTACTTGCTCTAAATACACATACGCTATTGTGGCCGTATCCCGGGATCTACTGTACACAATGACAAAACGTATGCAGGCTGGGTCCGAACGGACAACGTTACCCCAAACACGTATCAGAAATAACAGTGCCCATTAAGGCATAACGCCGTCGGCAAAACCCTTCATTTAAGTGCTACATCTTCTGATCGATCTGTAGCTTTTGAAATATTCATAACCACCCATGAATAAAGCCACATGATGAAGCGTCAAGTTTTGCCAGTAGTGCCTTGTGAGAGATACCATTCCCTCCATCGCAGACTCTTTGATCAAAACACACGACAGCAATGGCAGAAAAATTGAAACGTTCAAAGTAAATATTCATAACGCGCATCTCACATCAAAAGAATGAAAAACCTTTCAACATAATGCCTTTCGACTTGTACTGAAATAAAAACCGTATCTGTTCGTGGTATCTCAATACAAAGTCTTTGGGCAACACTGACGATATCACCAGAGATGCGCATCCATACCCATCACAGCGAACAGGATATATTTGTACATGCACATAAACAGAACCAACCTACCTTCCATTGTTGTAAAGTTAATGTCCAACGAAGATGGATAGCTGTACAATCCTTTAGTGTTCCTGGTTTTACACAAGTGCTGACTGAGTGATGCGTCTCCTCTTCGCATCCAGGTTACTTAAGTGCTTACCTGCGAATCAATCGCATACCGTTTGCCTATGTCAGTTAGATCTGGGTCGTCCGATCACCTGTGTCCTAGGAACAGCGAGAATCGAGTGTGATGGAATTTGAGTCACTGGGGTGCGGATATGCCACGAGGCGTAATTACAATCACAGAGCCTAACTCGAGCAGCCTTGCTTCCCGATCATCCAGGGTTGGACTGGCGTCAAGCTTTGCGGTTAATCATAGGGTAATTAGCTAGCTACAGATGAAATATTCAGCTACTGGGTCCGAGAAAGCTTGGGCGGAAATACACGAGTGTAAAACAGTTGATTGTTGACAATTACGCTTGCTGATCGGCTGATTGTGCTGATGAAGCGGAGGCAAGCGATGTCTGCAGCTTGGTAAATAGGATTCAGAGCTTGTGAAAGCATTTGCTGATATAAGCTGGATGGTCATTATAATACGGGATGAGTAAATAGGGACTCTGAGATTGTATAAACCTTTGCCATAAGTTTGGTCACCTATGTTTAAACGTCAGCTGATGGTGTGATAGATCATGAATAACCGTTCATATCATATCAGTTCTGTCAGCTGATATCCAGTGTGAAATGTACAGCGAGGAGGGGCTACTTGGCTTCAATGACGGGGTGTTAGCTTAACGTGGAAGGAAGGCCAATTGATGCAGGTAGTTGACGATAACAACTCCTGTGTTAGGGTTGGGTTAGAGTCAAGGTTAGGGTTAGAGTTAAGGTTTGGGTAGGATATAAGGTTAGGGTTAAGGTTAGAGTTAAGGTTAGGGTTAGGGTCAAGGTTAGAGTTAAGGTTAGAGTTTGAGTTAGAGTTAGGTTAGGTTAGGTTAGGTTTAGAGTTAAGGTTTGGGTAGGATATGAAGTAAGGGTTAAGGTTAGAGTTAATGTTAGGTTAGGGTTACGAGTTAAGGTTAGAGTTAGGGTAGGAGTTAAGGTTTGGGCTTATATTAGGGTTATGAGGGGTGAATAGGGTTAATGTTACGGTTGGACTTCAGGTTAGGGTTAGGGGTAGGGGTAGGGGTTAGGATAGGGTAAAGGTATGGGATAAGGATAGAGTTAATGTTAAGGGTTTGGAGGGGTGGTTAGCATTCCGATAACTTTTTGTGCCATTGACTACTTTCGTACATTCACATTGGGTATTGATAGTTTTCTTTGGGTATTCAATAAAGTGTTACTCTCTTGCCTCCAGTATTTTGTGTATTTGTAACCAGTGAGTCTATCTTTGTTTCAGATACATATACATGCATCTGATTCACGTCTACCTGTATCTGTTCGTGTGCTGCCTCAAGACTGTCACACGGCGCATAAAGTCACATCAGCAATATCCTCGAGCAGTTACAATAGACGAGACGTAGCGCTGTGTGCATTATTCACTGCAGTAAAGTTCATGTGTGTGGTGACTTTATTCAACCGGTGAATTCAGACCTGCAAGCGAGCAAGACGAACAGTCAATATTGAGCCGATGAAGGTAACTGTCGAGGTTCTCGCCGCCGCGTGGAGTTAAGGAGGTTGAAGGGGTTTGGGAAGTGTTAGAGTTTGACGCGGAAATAAAAGCGCTGCAGCTTAAACACCTACTTATACAGTACTGAGATCCTAACAGGCGTCGCTGTCGTCAGTTGAACCCCCATTAACTAAATACTCATAGCACAAATCCTTTTCACTCGAAATCAATAAAATCTGGCACAACCAGCTTGATAAATCAGGAGCGGTGGGATAGCCCAGTGATTAAAGTGTTTGCTTGTCATGCCAAACAACCGGGTTCGATTCCCCGTATGGGTTCAAACTGGGCCCATTTATGATGTTCCCGCTGTGATATTGATCAATATTGCAAAAAGCGGCGCAAAACTATACTCACTCAATGCTAAATTAAAATTCAACTGCAACAGGAACAAGTTCAATCATTCCTGTCAACTATCATCATGTTGTGTAACCCCCGTAACACCCCTCAGCCCCCCGCCCCCTCAGCCCCACCCTTTAAACTTACCCTAATCCTAAACCTTCATACACGATTCTGTAATTCCATTTGTCAGGGGGTATTTGTATTATTTTCCAGGCAGATGTTACACGAGGACATTTTACCGTTTCGTGTATTCTGAAAACGCTAATTCCGGGACCGCGAGTGAGTGAATGAGTGGGTAATATCGGTTTAACGCCGCCTCGAATATACACCACTCAAAAGAAGTTAAGGACCAACAGATTTTTTCATATTACTATACAGTAAACTACGGTTATAACGAACTCAAAGGGACTACTAATTTTAGTTCGTTATAACCGTAATTCGTTATAAGCATATATACAGTATAACTACAGCAAGTAGTCGGGACTAAAAAGTTAGTTCGTTATATCCGTTAGTTCGTTATAAGCGTGTTCGTTATAACCGTAGTTTACTATAGTTATTCTGTCATTCTCGATTATCTACCGAAACGGATCCCATTGGGCGTGAAAGGCAAAACAGCGTTAAAATTATATGAATGGATCACTAAAACATAAGTGATGACACCAGGTGTTCGCGAAAAGGGTAAGCATGTGGTTTTCTACCGGTACCAAAGAATTGAGACTGATTGTTTTCTGGTGTTGACGCTTTATATTTAATTGAACTGCTGTTTGACTGAAATCCCCGAGTTTCATCATAAGCTCGGTGGTATTTATCAATTATGCTGAAAGAAGTACAAAAGAAATATCTTGGCCGTGATATTAACCCCCCAGGGGCAGGAGCTACCGGTAGTACAACACATGTTTACCCACTTCACGAACACCCGGTGTACGGTGGCCCATAAGGGACATGGAGTCTGTTTATCCATATTTTGATATTTCACGTACTGCTATCGTAACCTTTTGCAAATTAACACGATTTGTCATACAAATATGTGATAAATCATGTATAAAAACAACTGAAAACATGGAAAATGCACTTTCAAGTAGCTATTGAGTCGCTGAAATATGAAGCGAAAATGTCAAAAACTAAAATGGAAATGTCAAAAACCAAAACGAAAATGTCAAAAACAAAAGCGAAAATGTCAAAAACTAAAATGAAAATACAGAAAACTAATTTCCACCGCGGTGGAAATAGTTTTCTGTATTTTCATTTTAGTTTTTGACATTTTCGTCTCACTTTTCAGCGGTTCAATATCTTCTTTACACATGATTTATCACATATTTGTAAGACTAAACGTGTTAATTTGCAAAAGGTAACGATAAAAGTAAGTGAAATATTAAAATATGGAAAAACAGACTCCATGTCCCTTATGGGCCACCGTACCGGTGTCACCGCTTTTCATAATTTTCATGAGTATTTTGCCTTTTCGCCCAAAGGAATGTTTCGGCAGACAATCGAGACTGATTCTTCCCTAGCGTTTATTCCTTGACGTTTTAACATTGTAAATACACGTCTGAATGTCAGTTACTCTTATTATCATATCTACACTGAATGCAATCAATTTGCGGACACCGACCTCGGGGTTTGAGTTCCAACACACACGACACGTGTGGCGGATTAATATCGGAACCCAGCTGAGTGTAGGCAGTCGACAAAGGATATTTAGATGTATGCAAATATGAATCGTGTTTGAGTGTAATATAATTCATCAGCAGCCTGTAGTCTATGTCCCGTATCATAGCGGGAAACGTGGCCTCTGCGTTCAATTTGTACAATCGTGCCTCGGAGAATATAACCCACTGACCTGTATTCGATAATGCATTTATTTTCCACTGATCTGGTCATGTGCCGGAATGATAACGCGTTCATTGTCATAATCTCGCATTATTATTTTATAAGATTCTTTTCAGTTTGAAACATTTTCATTAATATTAGGTGCACGGATGGCCCAGTCGTCTAAGGCGCTGCAATTCTCTGTGCAGAGTTGTGTCCCTTGGGCTCGCCAGGAACATATGTTCGTGGGTTCGAGTCCCGGTTCGCCCCGATTATGTTTCTCGGTTTGTCAGCACCATACCTGTGGGTTTCACCAAAGGTGTAAACGTGCGAGACCTGCATTACTTCGGGCTTTCCTCCCACGTGAAGCTGCCACGCGTACTTTTCAAAGCGGCGTTAAACCCAACTCAACCCTTCACCCATTGATATTACTTTTACTTATAACCTATGTCTTTGTAAAGTTATTTATGTTACTAAAAAATGTTTAAATCAATAAGTAAAATATTAAACAAAAAATAAAACATTTTTATGTTACGTAAATTGATATGAATGTGAATTTCCAGCACATGCGGATATGTGTCCAGTGCATATCGATATTAATTTTAATATCTTTAAATCAGAAAATATTGAAAACTATTAAACTTAGCCTCTACATTCAAACTTAGAACTTAATGTTTGCACTTAAGCAGCTTAATCAGCCGCAATACATTTCCTTCATCAATAAACTATCAATGATGTTTCTACACAAATGTATGAGATGTATCAGTGATGAGAAATTTGGATTTCCGCTTTAAAAACAACAACTTCAATGCACATTTGTTATACGAATCCGAACGGCAATTAAATGAATGCACAGTTTCGATGAAACCAGGCCAGTGCCATATGAACACATCCGTCCGATTATTGCTCCTGTCTGAAAGCCTGGCCGGTCCTCGACCACAAACAGAGACAATATGTCTGCATATTGGCAAATAAATCGGCCCAGTGTTATATTAAAATCTGGCCTTGATGCTGGACAAAAAGCCATTCGGTCCCCTTGACCTGTGTCGGCGATTTAATACATTCCTAATTCCTCGTGAGGGAACTCATCGCATTCTAGTCAATCTTATCATATCCTCATTGACGTGTGCATATGCTTAAGTCATCCACAGAGAGTTCATACTGGTTGAAGTTTTAAAGTGTTCCAAAAACGATGTCTCGTATTTGCCAGATCTGATGGCGGAGCAGGTCGCCTACAGTCGCCCAGTGGAATTAATCGTGAGTTTGTTCACGTGACTCTAGGAAATGATAGGTAATAGATATCCCTGACTCGGCTCGGTCCGCAGAGAAAGAAATGTAATTAACGGTACAGCTGCTTGGCTGGATCAGCCTCCTAATGGAATACACTGGATCTGACTCGCTTTCTTGTATAATGGTTTGTCATTAATGATTAAATTTGTCTTAAAGCAACACAGAAGTGTAAAAACAGTTGAAATAACAATGAAAAAAGAATTGAACTGAAACTGGTGAATCTGCTTCTCTTTCCATATAATTTTTGAATTAATTTTGAAGTTTACACGATCTACGGCTTTTCCATTGGACGAGAGGTCGGTCACATGACCGCGAAATTGACGTTCATAAATGTAGGAACGA